CCAGGAGCAAATATTTCTCTTTCAAATCTGTATGAGTTAAATTGCAGTACAACTAATCAAGATTTTTATTATGGATTGGCACAAATATGCAAATCAATAGAAAAACTTTATGTAAAAGTAATTGGTTATAAAAAATCTCATGGAATTGTTAAATTAATTGAAATGCAAACACAAATTAAATACGTGTTTATAGTTGTATATTGTGAATGCAATATGATTGCTCAGGCTTTAGAAAAACATGTAAATTCAATTATTCATTTAGAAATAACTAATTATACATCTGTTATACATTTTCTCATTCCAAAATTAATTAATCTACGATATTTAAAAGTACTAGATGATAATTATTTTGAACTAAGGAAGTACTATGTAATCTATTTAGTAAATCATCATAACCTTCAAGCACTTAATTTGCATTTCATATCACTTGATACAGCTATAAATATTATTAAAAATACTAATGGAAATCTTTGGAAAATTAGGATTGAAAGTATTCTAGGTTATGATAAGGCAAAAGAATATAATCAGACAATATATAAATATTGTCCAAATATAAAATATGTTACAATATTTTTGAGTAAAGATGGAACCATGGAAGAATTAGAGAAAATTTTCATCAAATGTCAACACTTGGAAGCAATATATATAGATGATAAAATTAAACGTGAATATATTGATAAATTCCTGAATTTGTTGCTTGAATTAGCTCCTCTCACTTTATGCAAAATTCACATTTCTTATATTACTCAATCTTTAAAATTATTTCTTATTAATTGGGTTCAGCGTAAAGGTAAAAAAACTTTGCAATTTTATTATCAATTTAATAGTTGTTACCCATGTCACATAGATAGTGATATTGCACATATTGTACATAAATATGGTATTAAGGATTTTTGGAATTATTATATTACATAGCATAAAAATGCAAATAAAACAAATGAATGAATTTGATTATTAATCTAAAGAAATTGTAAAATTACATGAAAGAAAATGAAACTCAATATTTAATAGTAATACAAGTATATTTATGTGCATAATATAAATAAAATGAGCTATTAAAATTTTAAGTAATAAAAGAAATTGACTAATTTTATATTTTAAGAATATTGAATTTTAGTATAGTTCTGTCACAAGTCATAAACGGTTGTTATTATGACAATTTTAACAACTTCTGAAAGCACCTCATTAATGAATTTTATAAGTTTATTTTATATATGTAAAGAAATGAATTTTAAACAAATGTTTTAAAATAAATAAAATTATAATTTCACAAACAACTTTTTGAAAAATAATTAACCAGCAGTATATATCTTTATCAACCAATTTCTAACTACCTTTACCTTTTTATAAAAAAAGATTTCCTATTTTATCCTATTTTAAAAGGGTAGAGAATTACTATAATAAAGAATACTAAAAAGAATAAATTAAAAAAGATATTCATAATGCTATACTACCCTATAAAAAATAAATGTCCGGAAAATGTCTACGAAAATGTCCGGAAATTGTCCAGAATAAATCTGGCATGTCCAGAAATTGTCCGGAAAATGTCTATTTTCTGCTACAAATTTGATACCTAAAATTTTGACATATCCGGACTTTGTCCAGAATATATCCAGAATTTGTCCAGTATAAAATTTTGGACAAATTCCGGACAGATAAACCTGGACAAATTCCGGACATAGTAAAAATTCAGATAATTTGAGCTGGACAAATTCCGGACATGAAAAAATTCTGGACAAATTCTGGACGCTACTTCCAAAAAAGGATAAATTAATTTTGTAAAAAAATGCAAAAAGCACAAGACTGACATTCATAACCTTCTTTGTCATACTAATTAAATTTGCTGAGCAGGCAAAAATACTATATATCTATGATATAAAACTTTAAGTTAAAAGCAATTATAATGATGGTCACCTGTTGATCATCTTTTTGTGCCAAATTTTATGAAAAAATATTTCAGGTCAATTTCCGGACAAATTCTGGACAAAATGAGTGTCCGGAAACGAGTGTGTTTTCGGAACAATTTCCGGACATGGTACCTGGCATTTTCTGGACATTTTCCGGACAATTATTTAGACAAATTTTCCGGACAATTTCTGGACAATTTCCGGACACTTATTTTTTATAGGGCTACTCAGAATAACATTAAATAATGAAAATTAAATGCTTTATTTTTTGAGAATCAACTTCATATCTGAATATAGAAAATATTTTTCAAAATTATTAAATATTAATACAACTTCTCAAATTTGCTTAATAAAGTACAATGCAAATAATAATAGGAAAAGCAGTAAAAACTTTAAAGTTTATATTTGCTCGTCCGTATTCTGGTTTAGTATAAATTTTAAATTAACTAGTTTTTTTATTATGAAATTATTACAACAAATAAAAAATAAAAATTAAAGAGTAAAATACGTACTACAGTATAGTACGTGGTTCATAATGATTAATAATAAGATAGTAGTAAACTTTTATGACTCAACTTAAATAATCTTATAGTCAACTTGTAATTTTTTTCAATACGACTTTTAATATCATATAATATATATTGCCCTTTTTCTTTTTATCTTCTGAAATAAAAAAAATGTCAAAATTAAATCATGATATTCTTTATGAAATTTTTCAAAATTTACAAGACTTAATTAATTAATATTAATTCAAATGATCCGGATGATTTAAATAAAAAGATAAATTATAAAAAATTTTTACGTTCTCAGTTTTCTTGTTTGTTAGTTAACAAGAATTGGTGTGAAGTCATGATTCCATTTTTATGGAGTAATCCTTTTAAATATGGTTATATGAAAAGTCCATTATCCAAAATTATCATTTCACATTTATCTGATAATTCAATTAAAATTTTGAAAGATGAAAATATCATTCAAACAAACTTTCAAAAGCTAAACCTTTCATTTAATTATGTTAGATTTTGCAAATATTTTCATGATCTTCGTAATGTTTTTCCTGTTGATTCAAAAAAGTTATTGAAAGAAGAAATTTATAAGCTTTTTATTAGTGAATGTTCATCTATAAAGTGTTTGAATTCAGATATGACATGTTATCCAATATTAAAATATCCAGGAGCAAATATTTCTCTTTCAAATCTGTATGAGTTAAATTGTAGTACAACTTAATCAAGATTTTTATTATGGATTGGCACAAATATGCAGATCAATAGAAAAAATTCGTGGGAGAATATATAGTAGTGAAGAAAGTCCTGGAATTGCTGAATTAATTGAAATGCAAAAACAAATTAAATACATATTAATAGAAGGAAATTGTGAATGCAAAAAGATTACTCAGGCTTTAGAAAAACATGTAAATTCAATTATTCATTTTGAAACAATCAAATATACATCTGTTATACATCTTCTAATTCCAAAATTAATTAATCTACGATATTTAAAAGTAAAAGATAATCGTTGTGAACTAAAGAAGTATGTAATCTATTTAAATCATTATAACCTTCAAGCACTTGATTTGCATTTCATATCACTTGATATAGCTATAAATATTATTAAAAATACTAATGGAAATCTTTGGAGAATTTGGGTTGAATGTATTACATGTTTTGATAAGGCAAAAGAATATAATCAGACAATATATAAATATTGTCCAAATATAAAATATGCTACGGTACTTTTGAATAAAGATGGAACTCTGGAAGAATTAGAGAATATTTTCATCAAATGTCAACACTTGGAAGCAATAGATATAGATGATGAAATTAAACACGAATATATTGATAAATTCCTGAATTTGTTGCTTGAAACAGCTCCTCTCACTTTATGCAAAATTCACATTTATTCTATGCCTAGTTATCTTACTACTCAATCTTTAAAATTATTTCTTAATAATTGGGGTCATTATAAAGGTAAAAAAACTTTACATTTATATTATACAGCTAGTGGTGATACTTACATAAATAGAAATATTTTACATAAATATAATATTGATTTCTGGAATTATTATATTTTATGGCCATAGCGAAGAATATGAATTCATACTATTAGGAGTAGTAGCAATATATTTGTTTGCATAAGATTTTAGAAAAATAAAGAAAATTTTAAACTTTTGATGTTTTTATACTATGATTAAGAATATCAAGTTTAAACTAGTATTAACAACATAGTATATAATTCATGTTCTGTCATAAGTCATAACAGTTATTATTATGATAATTTTTAATATCATCTAAAAGCATTCTTATTAAATAGTTTATTCCATGCGAGAAATGGGTATAAAACAAAATATTTTAAAATAAATAAAATCATAATTTCACAAACAACTTTTTAAAATAACTTACCAGTATATATCCTTGTTAACCTATCCATATAAAAACGAAATGTTTTATAATTGTGCTCACGTGTAATAAATGTCTAAAAGCACCTTTTTTGTTTTTTTTTTGTAATAAGACATAAATTGGACAAAATGGTCGTTTTTTACATATGAACACAAATATAAAATTAATTTAACACATAACACATTTCAATTTTATAAGGCTATACCTAACTACCCTTACCTTTTTTCATAAGAAAAGATTTCCTATTTTATCCTATTTTAAAAAAGTAGAGAATTACTATAATAAAAAAATACTAAAAATTAAGAATAAATTGAAAAAGGTATTCTATGATGTTATTCCTCAAATAACATTAAATAATGAAGATTAAATGCTTCATTTTTTGAGAATCAGCTTCATATCTTAATAGAAAATATTTTTCAAAATTATTAAATAATAATACATCTGCTCAAAATTTGCTTAATAAAGTATAATGCAAATAATAATAGGAAAAGCTTTAGAGTTTGTATTTACTCGTCCGTATTCTGTTTTAGTATAAATTTTAAATTACTAGTTTTTTTAATGAAATTGTTACAACAAATAGAAAATAAACACTACAGTATAGTACGTGGTTCATAATGACTAATAATAAGATAGTAGACTTTTATGACTCAACTTAAATAATCTTATAATCAACACATTTTATTTCTGAAATAAAAAAAAAATGTCAAAATTAAATCATGATATTCTTTATGAAATTTTTCAAAATTTACAAGACTTAATTAATATTAATTCAAATTATCTGGAAAATTCAAACAAAGAGATAAATTATAAAGGATTTAAACGTTCTCAGTTTTCTTGTTTGTTAGTTAACAAGAGTTGGTGTGAAGTCATGATTCCATTTTTATGGAGTAATCCTTTTAAATATGGTTATATGAAAAGTCCATTATTCGAAACTATCATTTCACATTTATCTGATAATTCAATTAAAATTTTGAAAGATAAAAATATCATTAGAGCAAATTTTCAAAAGCTAAAACTTTCATTTAATTATATTAGATTTTGCAAATATTTTCATGATCTTCATATTTTTCCAGTTGATTCAAAAATGTTATTGAAAGAAGAAATTTATAAGCTTTTTATTAGTGAATGTTCGTCTATAAAGTGTTTGAATTCAGATATGGCACATTACCCAATATCAAAATATCCGGGAGCAAATATTTCTCTTTCAAATCTATATGAGATATATTGTTCTAATACAATTGATCAAGATTTTTATTATGGATTGGCACAAATATGCAGATCAATAGAAGAAATTTATGTGAGAATTTATAATGAAGAAAGTTCTGGAATTGCTGAATTAATTGAAATGCAAAAACAAATTAAATACGTGTTTATAGATGGATTTTATGAATGCAAAAAGATTACTCAGGCTTTAGAAAAACATGCAAATTCAATTATTCATTTGGAAACAACCAAGTATACATCTGTTATACATTTTCTCATTCCAAAATTAATTAATCTACGATATTTAAAAGTAAATGATAATTATTGTGAACTAAAGAAGTATGTAATCTATTTAAATCATTATAACCTTCAAGTACTTGATTTATGTTTCTTACCTTCACTTGATATAGCTATAAATATTATTAAAAATACTAATGGAAATCTTTGGAAAATTAGGATTGAAAATACTAAATATTATGATAAGGCAAAAGAATATAATCAGAAAATACACAAATATTGTCCAAATATAAAATATGTAACAGTATTTTTGAATAGAGATGGAACCCTGGAAGAATTAGAGAAAATTTTCATCAAATGTCAACACTTGGAGGCAATATATATAGATGATGAAATTAAACATGAATATATTGATAAATTCCTGAATTTGTTGCTTGAATTAGCTCCTCTCACTTTATGCAAAATTCACATTTCTTATATAGATAGGTGCTTTAACACTAATGAATCTTTAGAATTATTTCTTATTAATTGGGATCATCATAAAGGTAAAAAAACTTTACATTTATATAGTAATTATATAAAAATAAATAAAGATATTGTAGATAAATATGATATTAAGGATTTTTGGAATGATTATTTCATGGGTATGGATAAATATAATTCATATTAGGAGTAGTAACAATATATTATTTGTTTACATAAGATAAATAAAAAGAGTTTTTAAAAAATAAAGAAAATTTTAAACTTTTGATGTTTTTATACTTTAAGAATATCAAATTTTAAGTAGTATAAACTAGTGATTAATAACATACTATATAAATTCATATTCTGCCACCATAAGTCATAACAGTTATTATTATGACATCTAAAAGCATTATTATTATTATTATTTTACTTTATGCGAGAAATAGTATATCATAATTTCACAAACAACTTTTTGAAAAATAATTTACCAGTATATATCCTCATCAGCCTATCCCTAACCACTCCTCACCTTTTTTTTTTTTAAAAAAAAAAATTACTATTTTAAAAAGGTAAAGATACTATAACAAAAAATACTAAAGAAAATAAATCGAAAAAGATATTCTATAATAATTATACTCAAGAATAGCATTGAATAATGAAGATAAAATGTTAGAATAAATTTCCATCTTTTTTTCAATTTCATTATGCTTCAGAACAGGTAATATTTTTCATAATTGTTAAATAGTGATAACTCTTCTCAAAATATTGAATACACTGTTTAATATACTACTGTAAATAATCCCTATAAAAAATTTATTTCCATACTTTTTTATTCCATATTATTTTCATTATTTACTGATTAATAAAATAAAAATATTTTTTATCCTAGTAGACTAACCAATTCAGCCAAAGAAGTGATCTAAAAATAATTAAATAATAAAATCAATAATAAGAAAAAAACTGATTTGCCATAAATCCACTTGTACTTTTTAGAAACTTAATAAAATTAATAAGAAACGCGACTCCGCGGCGCAGCAAAATGATTGGCTGAGAATTGAATTAGTTACACGTGATTAATGTCACATGATATTATTTTTGTGTATCATGCGCGTAAATTGCTAATTTAATAAAACGAATTATTTATTTCTTTTTTTCGTACTCGAATAAATATAACATTTCCATAGCAATATATATAAAATGTCTGAAATGAATGAATGGTCAAAGTGGCTTGATGAAGCCGTTACTAAAAAGCATATTAAACATTATGAGTACGAATATTTTAAAAATATTCAAGTGATTGGTTTCGTTAGTTTTGGAAAAGTATATCGTGCAAAATGGAAAAATTCATATCAATATTTTGCATTGAAATCTCTTCATAATATAGACGAAGACGCAATTAAAGAACTTGTTCATGAGGTTAATATAAAATATTTAAATTATAAAACCATTTATGTGTTATTTCTGTTTAAATTTATTTTCGTATAATTTATCTAGATTGAGCTACAACGTGAAGTTGCTTTCCATAATAACGTTATTAGCTTTTATGGAGTTACTATTTCAGATCAAGGTAAATAAATATCAAAAATAATGTGTTGTATTACAATGCAATCAATTGAAGGTGATAAATTCTTTGTTTATTTAGAAAATCAAAGTAACGACACTAAGAAATATCTTTTAGTGATGGAGTACGCTGACGGTGGTTCTCTTAGCAATTATTTGAAAAAGAATTTTGAGAAACTTACATGGGAAAATATACTTAAACTTGCTTACCAGCTGGCTAGTGCCGTATCATGCTTGCATGATCAAGGCATAATACATCGTGATTTGGTAATTTATTTAATTGATAAAATAATATTACATAATTTACTTTAACATAATTTTATTTTCTTATTATAGCACTCTAATAATGTATTAGTTAATCAAGATACTATTAAATTGGCGTATTTTTGATTGTCAAAGAGAATCGAAGCATCAACTAAAAAGAAAAAAGAATTATTTGGTGTAGTTTCCATGGATCCAAAAAAATTCGGCAATAAATCATTTTCTTTAAACAAGAAGAGCGACATATACGGTGTAGGCGTACTTTTGTGGAGATATCAGTTGTAAACTACCTTTTTATGTAGGAGAGTCATATGATGGCTGTTTAGCTGTGCAAATTATGCAAGGACTTACTATTCCAGATACCCCCATTGAATATGTTAAGCTTTATACTGGTAAGTTAATACTTAATATTTACTTATAAGAATATTACTTATAATAATGGTATTATAATTGAAAATTTAATTTAATTTTTTTCTTTAGAATGTTGGGATGACAACCCAAATAATCGGCCATCTATTCAAGAAGCCGTTGAAAGATTAAATACAATCAGTTCATTAACAAATATACCAATTTATCAACAAAATGAGAATATTGACAAGATAACAGATAAAAAAAAAAAGATTTGAAAAGTATTGAAGTATCATCACGTGGAGAATTATCTCGAATGATTATAGGTTTTAATAATATGAATACAAAGGAAATAATAGAACCCATGATATCAACAAGTAATCAAATTATTATCCAAAATATTTTACATAAGCATAAAGGTTGATAATATTACAGAATTTATACTTGATGTAGTTTAATACAGAAAGTTACTGATTTTATTAATAATCAAAATATAAATTCACAAGTAATTTGTAATTTGTTGATAATAATCAAGATTACAATTTAAATTCGATTTTCTTACTTGGATATTTTAATTTTCGCGGAATTGGTACAGTTAAAGATCACAATAAAGCATTTAATTTATTTACTAATGTATCGGAACGAGGACATATTTTAGCTCAACATTTTGTTGGTAGGTGTTATTTTTATGGATGTGGAACTACAAAAAATGTAAAATTAGCTTTTCAATATTTTGAAAGAACAGCTAATAGTAATTTAGCAGCAAGCCAATGTATTATTGGTTATTGTTATTCTAACGGAGCGGGTATTAAAAAAGATTTAAAAATTGCTTTTCATTGGTATGAAAAAGCCGCAGGTAATGGTAATATAATAGCTATGTATAATCTTGGTTATTCTTACAAAAAGGGAATTGGTGTTGAAAAAGACGTAAATAAAGCAATTTATTGGTATAGAAAATCTGCTGAACAAGGATATGAATATGCTCAAAATGAGATAGAAAAATTAACAAAAAAAAAGTAAATTTATTTGTAACCGTAATCGATCTAATATATTATTATTAATAAATACATTATTTGAATATATAAACATCTTTTTAGAAGATTGATTCATATATCTTAAAATATTATTGTGTAAAAAAACTAATCTTTTAGTTAAATTTATGTAATTATTTTGAATAATATTTGTTCATATTTCTTATAATATTATATCCGTATGGATATGTTCCGAACTGATACTAATGAACATAATCAGTTCTTGGCTAATCAATTCATCATTTACTATTTTAAAATAGACGTTAACTTCGAAAAAAAAAATTTTTTGAAATTTATAAATTTATGTCAGACGTAAGTGGATTATTGCATAGGTTACAGATCAAAATCGTCTAGTACATAGCAATAGAATGTCCTTCTGACAATAAATTAAATGGTTTTTTTTTGAATTTTGAAAGTCTTTGTGATGATACCTTTCATTTATTAAAAGTTTTATATTATAAATAATTACCTGATAATTACAATTTTTAGTATCTACACCTCTTTCGATAACTACAAATTATTACATTTTTATAACGACCTTCGGTGCTCTGTAATATTGTTACCAAATAAAACTCACACACTAATTTTTCAATTCTTTTCTTATATTAGCTAACTTTTGGTACATGTTTTCCAATCCTAAATACTAATGAACAAATGAAACCTTTTAAAGTCTATAAATTTTCGTTTGATATTTTTGTTTGATGTTCGGGTAAAGAAAGCGAATCATTATGTTTTATTTAATTCGTGCTTACATACAAACGATATTAATATTAATAAACTATCATTCAACACGAGTAAAATACTACTACATACGCAAAGGAAATAGGAAATAATCTGATAATACAATATATAATTTATCAGCATAAATTTTTATCAAATAAAAAAAAAAATACCTTTTAAATAATATAAAGTATCATTTTAAACCGAATAAATCAATAGGTAAAATTAAAAAAACAATTTGGTACTAAATATAGAACGTATTTTTTGATAAAGATTTTTATTATAATTTTTCTTTATTATCGTTCCTGATAACTTTGTTTCACATAAATGAAGTTGCTAAGCGAAGTACATGACCTAAAAAAAAAAAAAGAATTTATTTTAGAATGAGACAATTGAGAATAATGCACATTTTGAGATATCATTATTTATTTATAATTTACCCTTTGTAGTTCTTGCTTTACCACCCCGAATGTGACATCGTCACCCGACTCGCTGTTTAAGTGGAATTTTGCCCTATTAGAAACTATGTGAGCGTAATATACCGGAGGTACCTATTTGAATATAAATACAATTATTATCATACACGACATACATCGATAACAAATATATTATAAAATCTTACCAAAGATACCGCACGCGTACAACGCACATATATATAACAGAGGTTATAAGATAATGTTTGTAACCTAAATTAATAAATACATAAATTATTTATATATATTCTTTATTAAATTAAATTGAATTAAATTAACTTACGAATTTGCGTTAAATCCGTTTTCGTCAAATAAAACGTGATAATGCGTTGGTCGGGACGTTCCCAGTAGTCCAGGATGACTTAGTAAATCTATCAAGGATTTAAAGTCATTGAGGAATGTTACAAAATTTATATTTTAATGTAAATTCGGCTACTTACAAAAGTCAAATTCAAATGGATGTGTAATGCCAACATCGACAACGGTACCAGGAAAACAATTTCCGGTTCTATCGGTATATTGCCTTTCCATCGGAAAAAATCGTGCATGATGTCTCTTCTGCACCACAACAAATGTGATAGTAGGTCTATACCTAGCTTCAAGAGCTTGACACGCGGCTGTGGCAATTAAAAATTGATCAAAAAAAAAATAAATAAATAAATATGAATAAATCGAGAATTGATATATAATAAGTACCTCTAACAGCGTTTATTTCAATTTGTAGCACACTGTTAAACTGGCCCTCCGAAACGCCATCTCGGTAAAATAAAATTCTTTCAGGCTTTCTTCCACAAGTCTGATAAAATATTTTTAACAATTCTTTAACCATATTTGCTAAATCTGCAATTATTTCGTAACGCCTGGCTTGAACTCTAATTGACGCTGCATATCGCGATGCCTTAGCGTCCATTGAAGCACAAAGAGCAGCAAAAGATGGACTTTGGTTATCGCCTGAAGAAATATGAGAAACAAAGATATATTAAAAATAATTCGTATGAAAAAAAAAATAAATAAATAAATATAATTTACCAGGTGCAGGATGAGATACGTCTGCGCCTATCAAAATAGTGGGCCTTTCTGTTACAAAATGAATATGTTCGGGAATGAGAAATGAATTCATTCCTCCAAGTTTAACGTTCAACTTTAAACAAACACTCGCACAATATTGTTTTTTCGGGTTTCTCATGTGTATGCTTTGGATACACTGTGTTGCGACACCAATAACTGTGTCGCTAACACGCTTAATTTCGGCATATAATTGCAGTCCCCTGTTCGGGAGAACACAAAGAATAAGCTGTGGTTGAGCTTTCGCCGTATTACCAGCCCTCAGCCAGGCTAGTTTTAACGATTCCTCAGTAGTTCCTTGAATATTTGCGCGTAATATGGGAGGATTCCTATTTGGAATATTCTGTTAAAAATAGATGATTGAAATAGTATCAGTTAAAAAAAAAGCCGAATAATTCATACAAAAATGGGTTTGTATCATTAAACTTACCATTCCCGTATCTTGACACGTACTAACCAATTCTCTTACGAATGTGTAAATAACATGATCAGGTAATCTGGTATCATTTTCAAAAGCCAAAACTGACCATGAACCGAGGGTGGCACCAGTTGCTACTTTTTTATCTCGTAAATTCCATACTCCATCTTTCGGCTGGATACGATACTCCCTTGATGTCGGGTGATACTCAATGGTTGGAGTGGGGAGAATCCTAGCGTTCACCTGTAAAATTAAGATCGTATTTTTGTAATTATTCAATTATAAATTTATTTCTATAATGCAATAATAAAATTTCAAACTTACCACAGTCATATCAGTTGATATACTCATCCCGAATTGTTGAAGGTATTCATTTCTTCGGTAATTTAATATATTGAGACCTTCCTGAATTTTATTTGCCCGAATGGTCGGATTTTGACGAGTAAAATTCATCATATTAGCTATCTGCTCATCATTCAATTTCCGCATATAGCGTTGTTCCTGTTATACGAAATAATTTTTTAAATATTTTCTCATAGTAAATATGATATCGCTAGGAATATAAGAATATACAATTTACCGGAATTACATCACAGACTTCTATCGGAAGATAAACGTTTCTCCTTACGATAACACAAGGAAGTAATGGATATACTAAAGGTCTATTGTAAGCATTTTGAAAATAAGTTCTCACATCGATGATACTACCATCACCTCTATCAAACATAGTGCGAGAAGCTGGAGTTTGAGTCAATCCCTCAACCTTAAATTTTCGTCTATTTCCCGATCTATGATTATCTCTTATTCTAAGACCTTCCATAATCCACTCAAGTTTTTGACGGTCATTTTCTGAAATACCTCCATACAGTTCATTATATGTACGATCCAATATGTTTGCAACTATCTGAACAAGTGGACCACTTTCATAGAAAGCAGTAGCACTTAAGTCTACGTTTATCATCATTCTCCCTCTCGTGGGACGCGCTGATTGGTAATACCCCTGACAAACCTCAATACCCCCAGAGAGGGGATGAGTAATTCTCGGAGTGTAAAATGATCTATTTACAGTAGGATATATTGTAGAAATCTTGTGACTAATAATAATATCCATTGCCATTATTGCTTATTACATAAATATGATATTATTAGATTCATTCTTGTTAAAAAAAAAAGAAAAGAAAAAAAAAAACTTACCCATTTGACAATTGCTTGTCAAACTGCCTCTTGCTTGTAAAAATTGGAATAGATCTCTCATGACAATATTTCTAGTTTGTCTTATTTTAATTTTAAAATTTCGTGGTGGACGTGTTCTAGACACGGGCACGTCTTCTTCCTCTAACTCCACCTAATTTTAATAATTAAACTCGGTAAACAATTTTTTTTTAATGCCAAAACGTCAAAAAAAAGGTAAAAAAAAATAAAGATATTTACGTCAAAAGTAGCGGATTCAAATTGCAATTGCCTGTGTACAAACATATTTGTTCTTCCTACCAAAATTTGCGATTAGTTAGTATTAATTTCCTCTTTTTAAACACAGGCATATATTTAGACATCATACGATATTGATAATTCTAAGAAAAAAAAGAGATTATATAATAAAATATTGATATCATGTCGAAATTATATTGTAAAATTATATAATACCGATTCGTTTTTTTTATTCGATTTTTGGATATTTGTGTAACAAAAAAAAAAATATTTTTTTTTTTCCTTTTCTTTTGTTATTGAATACATACCATCAAATACCGGTCTTGCACCTCCAAGGGCTTCTTCTCGGTATTGCTCCACAAAACGGTTAAATACCTTCCAATTTAATCGCTTAGGGACCGTAGGTGTTATCGTTACATCGTAATGTGAGATATTCGTATCTTGCATATTAGTAACTTCAAAGAAGTTTGTTCGAACTCTTATGTTACTTCCTTCATCACCAATGTCTGGCCTTAATACGAACTGAGTAATTTGAAAAGTTGCTTCTTCCATATTACAAAAATTAATGAAGAGAATAATAACAAGAAAATTACTTTTTTTATCTCTTTTTTTTTGATACTTGGAATAAAGAAAAGAGATCGAAATTCAGGAGTCGTATAATTTTTTTTTTTTTTTTTTTTTTT